CCAGACCCACGTATTGCCAAGGAACCAACAGTATTTTCTGACAGCAAGATGCACGCTGCTTCTTCACGAGGAACCCGCTGCCCTTCTTGCAAATCTCCCCTCCTAAAAGCATCCCTAGACCCTCTCTGCACCCGCCCTTTATGTCGGGTCACGGGCCGCGGAGCTGGCGCCCTGCTGCGCACAGCCTCCCCAGGAACCACGAAGGAAGCTCAGCGCGAAGGGTGGTGGCTGAACGAGGGTGCTGCTGCTCATTCGAAGACGGAGCAGGGAGGAAAGAAAAAAAAACCTGACAGCTACAAGCCAGACAGATACTGAACATGTAAAACCAAGGGGAGGGATAGCTCAAAAGGGATCTAATTTCCTTGCTTTTCCTGCTGTAAAAATCAATCACCACTAAAAAAAAAAAAATATTCAAGCGATATCATAGAGTTAAGTCTTATAATGTATTTTTGCCTCTTATTCCCCAAATCCTTCCTTTCTCCGTTAAATCTGCTGAAGTCAACAGGATTTCTCAAATGAGAAATGGTGTGCAGGGACAGGGCGTTTATTACCTACCTTTCCAACGACGAGAGAACGCGGCTGGTATTCTCTTTCAACGCATGAGAGGGCTCCTTCCGGGCTTATTTATTTATTTATCGTGAGGCTTCATCGGTATCATCTGAGAGGTAGGAGATTTTAATGCTCCCATCAGATATAAAAGATGAAGGCAAGCTAAGAACATACCCATAATAGGAATGCAAGAATTCCTGTAGATTTTGCCACAGGGAAATTAGTTTGCTTCAGGGGTATAAAGCTCTTGGACCAAATCAAAGATAAAACTCTGCTGAAGAATTGTCTCCATGCAACAGAAAATTTCAAAAGCTGTAAATAAACAACACAAACCAGCACAACGCTTGCTGTGCAGAAAGACTCCATCTCCTCACAAAATACAGCTTTTTATTTTGATGAAAAGTAACAAGACTTTCACGTGGATATAAAAAAAAAGTCTTTTTTAAAAAATCTCTCACGTAGCTGTTTGCAGTCAAGGAAACTCTGCCCCTGCATGCATTTGGCTGGGACTTCTCCTTCTCCCTCCTCCTGCCGACGAACAGCAATCCCCTGCGCGAAGCACTGTGCTAAGAACCATCAGAGCCACGGGCCCGATCCCAGACACGCTCAAAAACACGGAGGAGGACAAGAAACACGCATAGCGTTCAAGAACTTTGCTTTGAAAGAGGGGAAAGAGATTGAGAAGGAAAAGAAAAACCTTGGGCTGCCTCCAGTGCCACTTTTTGGAGGGAGTCCTGATCCAGACGGGCCCGCAGAGAAGGGGAGGCGGTCACTCTAACCCGGGCTCCAGGGGGTCCCTTCATCGGATCCCTGCTACAGGCACCTGCTGCTGCTTGCGGATCTTGTTGAACAGCTCCATGTACTGAACCATCGTGTCCGCCGGGCTGTAGATGCTGTCGTGCTTGGTGCCGAACACGGAGGGGATTCCGGGAGCGTGGTTCCCCATGAAGCTCTGCATGAACTCCATGAGCAGGTTCCAGCAGTCGTTGGCTATCACGCAGGGACAGTACTCCACCTGGCAACAGAAACCACAGCCCTGAAGCTGGCGGCAGGGGCAGTCACCACACAGGAGGCAACGCGCCTTCCCCTCTCTGCCTTGCTAGAGAGGGAACACTTTTCATAAAAACATCTGAGACTATTTAGCGTATAACAAGGACGGACAGATATAAATGAACAGGAGATGCTGGGAGCGTGCAAGCAACCCCTTCAAAAGGGAAGGGGAGGTAAAATGTACCCTGTAAGGGCACTGCTTTATTAAATCCCCAGTAGTGGAGGTCTTGGGACGTTGGTTCAAACGCCACATTAACTTTACCCCATCCAAAACCAAACTTCATTCCCACATGCTGGTAGGTCGATGACTCGTGTGGCTGTGACATCTTTCAGGAGTGTAACGGGAAAAGCCTTGGGACTTGAGGACTTGAAGCTACTGGTGGTGTGCATCGGGACTTTAAGCAGCTTTTTAGTTTGATGGCATCCCTTCAGGGTTTTGGTTATTGACACTTCAACGACAGGCTTTCGAGCCCCAGAGTACCTGCCTGAATTAAACCTTGTTGTGAAAAGGAGATAAACACCCCTCCTGCTGCATACCTGAACGCGCAGAGTACAAACCCCCAGCAAGGAGCAATACACTCGAGACACGGAAGGGACGGGGAACTTCCCTGTCTGTAGTTGTATTTTGTACCCTTCAAAGACGACTCTTACCTCCACAGATATCCCACGGGCACTGGGCCCCATCGTAACCGTGCCCACCTTCACCAAGAAGTCACAGTACTGGTAGCGGGTGCCCCGGCTCTCGATCTTGTTCGCCTTGGCGTTTTGGAAGAAGCCTTTCAGCTTTACCATAAGGATATCAAAGTTGGCGTCTGCTATGAGGCAGGGACCGTTTTCAAAGAGAGCGAAGCAGCTGAGGGGATACTCGGAGTTGTGCATCACGTACATCAGCTTGCCTGTCTGCCCTGAAATAAGAGCAAGGGTATCTGGGCTGTAAAACCAACACTCCTGCGCTTGTACGTGCTTTACAGAAGCGCCTGGTTTTTCCTTTGCTTTCATTCCGGGGTCCTCGTACCACCCACACATGCTTTGTGTTACCTGCCAGTTCAGTATTGTTCGGATTGTATTGTTCGGATTGTATTTCCTTCTTCGGATTTAAATTAAAGGGGAAAAAAATCTTGTGGCCCAAGGATAACACGCCAGCACGACTCGGGGACCAGAGGGTGAGCTGGACGCGAGATCCACCGCAGACCGGGGTGGGGGCCAGTGAAGAGCACCCACCTCCCATCCTGACCGCGGGGCTGGGCACCCGCCGGCCGCCCTCCTGCCCCGCGCCGCTGGAGGAAGGCTCTCCTCGCCCTCACCCGCCAGCCCCGCAGGGGAAGGAGGTGCTGGGACACGCTCTGGGAAACGGGGGGTCCCGAGAGGACGCGCCTGGCTTACGCCACGATTTAAAAGCTGGAAAAAATTCTCATTTATCCACGTAGGTCAAAAAAGCCTTTCCACGCATGTGGCCGCGCAAGTTCCAGCTGCAGAAAAAGCAGCAAAAAGCTGCGCTGGCAGCTTCAACCGGAGCAGCCCGGGCAAACCGGCTGGGCAGAGCCCTGAGGCTGCAGGGGCTCCGGGCTGACCTCTGCGGCCACAGAGCCACCATGGCCACGGGCGCATCGTGGCCACGGGCGCATCGGCGCTTTTAAATGATGTGAAAATCCAGGCGTTCAGGAGAAAGAACGGGGCCGGAGCAGCCACGCCGCACCTTTCAGCTACCGTCTCAGGCCGTGCTATGCCAAGTGCGATGTCAGTGGAATCCGGGATCCTCCGAGCGCATCCCCTGGAAGCGGCTGGGTCCCCTCGGGCCCCGGGCGCCCAGAGCCGCTCCCCACCGCAGGCAGAGCAGGCAGCTGCTGCCAGACTTGCGCCCGTCCTCTCCAGGGGAAAACGCGGCCTCCGGAGCAACTCAGACAGAAGCAGCGGGTTAAAAACCTTCACGGAAAAACGCGCCGACAGCAGAGGGCCCCGGCGCGGCTGCCCGGGCTCGAGCGGGAACCCTCCAGGCCGGGCAGCGCCGGGGACGGGGGAAACGGCGCAGCCGGGCGGTCGCTACCGGGCGGCCCCGGCCGGGGCCTCCCCCCGCC